TCATCTTAGTTTTGTTAGGGGTTAGGCATTTGTAATTATCTATTCTAGTTGCCGTTTTCACTTTTGTGGTATATGAAGTTTTCTGGTCTTGCTTGTCATACTCTCTTGTACTTGATAGTCTCTCTTACACACATGGTTAGTAATATACAAGTGCATTCTTGATCAAAATAGTTGTTCTGTCACACTCTTGAAGCTATAGTTAATATGTTACTTGCAGCATTTTATTGTGATTGTGGTTGCTGCTGCTTTTATAGATTAATAAAGACCATTTACATTTTTATGAGCATGTCTTGTGATATCTGGCCTGTACTTATTTTATTCTATTTTTCCCTAGCCAGCTAGTTGTGCATGTAACAGTTAGGAACAAGGATATATATATATATATGTGTGTGTGTGTGTGTGTGTGTGTGTGTGTAATATATATATATATATATATATATATATATATATATATATTCACGTGTATGTCATAGTTCAATTATGTGCTTCTCTTGAAAGTTGAATTTGGGCTAGGGTCTAATCCACTGCCCCTAAATGTTTTGGAAGAAGACACTCACATTAGTGATCATTTCATCATCTTCTTTTCGTTGTTGCATATGCATGGTACATTGCCTGTAAGGGCTTGATTGTATTTTAATTACCCTCTGACTTTTGTGCTTACATTCAGTTGGGTAAGTGGAGCTCTTGATCCAGAACAAACCTCAACTAATGATCTAGTTACATCTGTGAAAAGGTGCATCCATTCACTTTATGCTTTTATTATAACATTTTCTGTCTGTTTTCCCAGATTATATATCTAGAAAGTTTCATAACTTGTGTTGTTTGTGCTTGTGCTAGGGGTGTTTGGGCAATGGTCACAGTGTATCTTGCTTATTCTTTATTACAAGCCCCTACAACGTGAGTTGATAGCCATAGCTTTAAATGAGAAATACTCTATTTGGTTGCATTGTTTAATAACATTGCTTTAGAGTTTAGACATATTAATCTTAGTGAGTAAGCCATAGGTAGTGTGGTTGAAGAAGGTACCAGCTTTTGTATTCTGGGTTTCTCATACACTATGAGTTTAAGGATTTATTTGCTATATGCAGCCTTGAATTTCTGAGATCTTTCTCATTGCAGGATTCTTATTAGGCCACATCCTGCCATTTGGCGCCTAGTTCATGGAATGGCTGTCATATACCTTGTTTCATTAACATTTTTGCTTTTTCAGGTAAGTTTATTGGTAAAAATGTGTTATATTTTTCCTTAATTATTTTATTTTGTTTTCCAACTTCCTATTTTGTTATCTCTTATCTTTTATTATTGTTATTTCAGAATCGTGATGATGCTCGCCAGTTTATGAAGTATCTGGATCCTGATCTTGGTGTTGGTAACAAATTTGGGATTGTTCTCCAGCATTTAGACATGGATCAGCTCATTTGCCTCAGCAGTCCATGTTATTTGGCTTTTGATTATCTAGGCAAGTGGTTTCTAGTGATGCTTAAGTTCAATTATTACTTGTGCAGAACTACCTGAAAGATCCTATGGTGCTGATTGCAGAATCTATGTACCTGAAAATCCCACGAACAGGTTTAAGAATGTTTATGTATGGTTTCTACTTCCACAATCTTGTATATTCTTTTTTGGATTCTTGTTTGACTCCAGTTTTCCCCATCTTTTGGTTCACCCTTTAAAATAAAAATCTTTTAAGCACCGAGTGATTCATTTTATTATTTCACAGGATACTGTGTTTGATGAGTTTGTTCTGGCTCATGTTCTTGGGTGGTGGGGGAAAGCCATCATGATTCGTAATCAACCTCTTCTATGGGTGTTATCAATTGGGTTTGAGTCAATGGAGGTAGATGTCTTTCCAACTTTCCTTTTGCTGGAACCCTGTTAATCACTCTTATTGGAGTGCTCTGGAGATTATTGTTAATACCCTGAACATGTGTTGTTGTTCCTATCCTTGCAGCTCACCTTCCGGCATATGCTACCAAATTTCAATGAGTGCTGGTGGGACAGCATTATTCTTGATATTTTACTCTGCAATTGGTTTGGTATGAATCTTAATGTATTCCATATCTACTTTCTTGGATTTATGTAAGTGGATTCATGATAGCAGATCCCAAACTCCTTGGGAATAAGGCTTGGATGTTGGTGTTGTTGGATATATGAATGTGAACTAATCCGAGAATATATGCACCTAAACTCTACGGAGTGAGGAATGTGAAAGAAGGCTAGATTATTAATGTTATACCAACTTTATTAATTAATTTTCTAGAGAGATGATATCTGACAGGTGCACTAGAAGTCTCTAGTCCAATTTTATAATATGGATATTTGTAAATAATACTTTGTCCCAGCTTCTTTAGAATTATTATTACAAGGCAGATTAGTTTAGCATAGTCCAATTTTATAATATGGATATTTGTTATAAAAGAGTGCACAATGGAGGTGATCTTTGATTGAGAAGCTGTCTAGCATCAAGACAGACATATTCCAAAACCTATATGACATGCTCACTATTGATTAATGGCATATTTATTATGTCATGGAATAGTATGTGTCGCTATATGGTGTTTACATGCATTCGTATGCACAACTTGTAATGGTGAATGGATGTAACTTAAAGTTTTTTTTATGTGTGCTCTATAGGTATTTGGGCTGGAATGCGCACTGTTCGTTATTTTGATGGTAGAACATATGAGTGGGTTGGTATCAGCCGACAACCAAATATTATTGGCAAAGTATATTTTCCTTCTACTGTGTGTCTGTAGTCTGTATGTTCCTTCTGTGTGTTGATAAATGTAATGATTCTGTGTGTTTATCATTATGTTTCCCTATTTTAAGTGTTAATGTCTTGGTGCTGAAAACTGAGAATCTCTCCTACTGTATTATTATTGACAAACTGTTTTCCATTCCTTCCCTTTCCCATGTCTTTTCATTGCCATATTCCATTCTTCACCATTTTCTAGTTTCCCCCCCGAGTGAGATTATACTATTGTAAAGAGGTGAAGGATGTGTTAACCAGAACTTTAAAATTAAAGTTGTGAGATTTCAAATAAATAGTGATTGATTCTAGATAGAATCAAAAGATGCCCTTTTAGCCTTTTAATTTTACGTCTAGCAGTAGAAAACTACATTACTTGTAGCCTTAACTGTCAAGCTATGGATATTTTTTTTTATAAAATGCTGCATACGTTTTTTATGTTTTAGGTGAAGAGAACACTTGGTCAATTCACTCCAGCACATTGGGATAAAGATGAATGGCATCCACTTCTGGGCCCTTGGCGTTTTGTTCAAGTTCTCACTCTCTGTGGTGTTTTCTTGACAGTAGAGTTGAACACATTCTTCCTCAAGTTCTGTCTTTGGATTCCTCCAAGAAACCCTTTCATAATATGTAGATTAATTTTATGGTGGCTGATTGCGATACCTACCGTTCGTGAGTACAATTGTTACCTAAATGACAGGTAAGTTCCTTCACCACAAAGGTTACGTTACCATAAACCGATATTTGTGTCCACACTCACCTCCCTGGTATCTCTTTGCTGCTATAAATTTTCAGAAAACTGGTAAAAAAGGTGGGACCATTCTGTTGGCTTTCACTTGCCATCTGCATAGTTGAACTTCTAATATGCATTAAGTTTGGGCATGGTGAGTGCTTTCTCCATTTCCTTATACTTAACAGCTAGCATGTTCATTTACATCTTCCGTTCACTTTTAGTTTGGTATAGGCATAGGCTTTCAGGCTATCTAAAAGAAAAGTTGCAGAGGAAGCAAATAGTGCATGAAAGAGTAGAGCAGAAGTTTAGAAAAGTAAGAGAAGTTGAAAAAATAAAATGGAAAAATAGTGTGTTCATGTCTTTTATAGATGAAAATGTAGATGAACTTGCCAAAAGTGAAAGGAAGTGGAGCAAGTAGAAGTTTAACCTCTAACATTTGTCTTGTTTTTAAACTATTCAGGATTGTTTCCTGCCCCCATGCCAAAATGGTTAATTATTTTTTGGACTTCCTTCGGGATTGGCCTTGTGGTGTTCTTGTCCACATGGGCATGGCAATTGGTTAGGAGAAAGCAGCAATGAAGCCACTGGAGTAGTCTTGTTGTCATGGAAGTGGTTTACCAGAAAGCAGCAATCAATTCTCATATTGGTGTCTAATTCTTTAATTTACCTGAGATGTTTTGATAGCCATTATGTTGTAAATGCCCATTTAGGTGCGTGTTATGATAATTGTATAGGCTTTATTCCGTTTTAACTTATTAGGTTAGATCACACACACATACATGTTTAGGGAACCTCACTTGCTTATCTCTCACAGGTTAAAGCTTTGCAGATGTTTAAGTCTCATTTTGTAGCTTTGAACAGTGCCAAATTACTTCTATTTAGGAAAAAAAAATGGTACTCTTATATAGGAAAATCACATTGTTTTATCTCCTATTTAAGGTCATTGTTTTTACTCTTATTCAACTATCAATTGCAAACAAATATCAGAAAAATGATGGGTATCCAAATATTTTTCAAAATATTTTTCAAAATGATAACTAAAATTTCATAAAACTACTTGAAGAATAATCTCTTGATTTTCTAATTTACTTTAAGGTCATTCTAATACATAAACGTGGATAATAGAAGACCTTTTTTTAAAAAAAGGAAAAAGATCAAATAGACCCTTTTATTATTTATAGTCCATCAATAACTGCCACTATGCTAAAAAAACATCAGTACCCTTATATTAAAGTACTAATTTTATCGCTTACTTCAATGTTAAAAAAGAATTATTTTTAAACTGAGCGTAATTAACAAAGCACTAAAAATTAGGATGTTTTTACTTGAACTTTTTACCGTCCAAAACAAACCACACCAAACCACACCAGACTTAGATAGTTATAAAATACACAGAAACTAGACATTTACCAAACTAGTTCAAACCAAATCAGAAAATTTCAGTCCAAGTAAAAACATCCTTAAACTTGCATTATTTTTAATTTTAATTTTCAATTATCTAAGGGTTTCCGCTAAAGATTTCCAATAAACAAGTGACATATGAAGTTCATTCTAAAATGGATCGTGCCCAAGTTCAGTTTAATAAGACCACAATTTTTCTTTTCTTGGCTAAAAAGAATGAACATTCAGAGAAAATTCCAACACAACATAAAAGATGGGCACAATTACAATTACAATACATAGTTCTACGACTTCTATCAAGTCTACAGATTAAAATAACTTACTAACTTGTAATACAACCTTTAACAACTCATACAGATTGAAAGTCAGCTTCCTCTATTCTGAATCACATGAGTTTCTGAATAGCTGGCATTGGTATTCAAAATTTATGAAGGCTGGATATCAGAGGGATGGTCAGTACAAGAAACCATTTCTCCTGCATGCACACTAATTTCTGTAGTACCCTGTTGTTCAACATTTTCAGTGTTCTCTGGATTAAAATTAATAGGGAACTTTGTCACTCTAGGTTTGTCAGCCAGAATGTTTCTCTGGACTCTATCAATCAAAACCTTTTGAGGAGGCTCCTCTCGTAGTTGTTCATCACCATAGTCATTGTTGACATAGTATCCTACTCGAATAAATTCTTGTCCGACATACGAACATGTTAACAACAATACTGTCACACCAATAATATCTTCTTCACGAATTTTTGACGGGTCTGGAGGATCTGCCTGTGAATGAAAGTATTCCAGGTATGTTGAACCCAGTCAGCAAATCCAAATGGGTAATGCTTGGCATACCACACCAAGGTATTCAGTTCATGAAAAAAGAGATTTTTGTTCGCACAAACAAAAAAAATTGGTATAACTTGTCTGTAAAAACAAAAATAATCTAAAAGACATCTTCACATGAATACACCAAGACATCTAAAAAAAATATTGTCCGTGTGAACAAAAAACCTTGTTGTACAAATTATAAACTAGTTACCTGAAGCAGAAACCTGTATTTGCCGACATTCACAGGTCCAACTAAAACACTCTCTAAGAGCTGGTCATAAGTTTCATCCTCTGCAGACCCAACATAAATCAACTTCCACTCCAAATCTGTATTATACAAAAAAAATACTACGTAAAGTGATACCAAACAAGTATCCAAGAATAGTGGACCATCACGAATGTGTGTTACAACCTATCTATACAAAATATATAGCATTACAGTTTGATATAAAAGAGCCAGATTAAGCCAACAATATGAATTTGAAATAAAACCATCAAAAATATCTAGACAACCTCACTCACTACTGTATAATGTCTGCCATCTTAGTAGATTTTTTTTCTTGTTGGTCATAGTTTACAAGTGTTCCTAGCAATAGCAAGCATTGAGATGCAACTTTGTAGTTTTGCAAACATTTAAGAACATGAAATCAATAATAGGTGTTCAAGATGAACTTAAATTTGACTCTTTTCTGCTGCAAGGAAACCGCATTTATGTTTCTGAAGTGTTTTTTTAAATAAAAAAACAGTTTACATAGTTATTAGGTCTTACAGAGTTTTTATCATCCTTATTTCATACGTAGTAAAATATGTAAAGAAAAAACAGAGTATGTCAAGATTAATCCAAAGCCTTGTCTAATACCATCTATAAACTCTTCCTCAGTGTGGTTTGCTTATTGGTTTGATTAAATCTAGTCTGTTTAAGTGTGTTCAATTTTAAATACAAAAGTCAGAGAAGGAACACAATACTTTTCTATTTTCAAACTCTTATAGACAAATTAAATAGAAACAAGAAAAATACCATCTTTCAGGGAAGTGAGGCATTCATAAGAAATCTCAAACTGGAATGGATTCAGAAAAGGTGCAGGATTGTCTAAAACCGACACGTTGGTAAGATTGACGACGCTCATCCTTCCTTTCAATCTCCTGTGTAAGAATCGTAACCCTAAAAACAGGGATGGAGAAACTTACTTTATCCAGAGGGACCTTATGAACGGAACCCTAATTGCTGATTTGAAATGAAAAGTAGGCGATGCTAGACATAGTATATAGACATCATCCACAAGATTGTATATATACTCCGTATAATAATAATTGCATATAAACTGTTATGTTTTGGCGGGAGGTCTTTGTCAAAATTGAAACCCCGCCTTAGGATGACGAGTGAAGTTTTATGATACAAAGTACTCCCTCGGTCCCATAAAATAGTTCCCGCATTACTTGGATCAGAATTTAAGAAAGTAAAAACAAAGTGAAAATGTATGATTGTAGATTTGTAGTTGTGTAAGAAAAAGTTAAATGAATGTGAGCCACACAAAATTTTTCAAAAGAGGAAATGAGAAATATTTTATGAGACGACCCAAAAATGAAGCCAGAAAATATTTTGCGGGACTGAGGGAGTACAAAATTGTATGTACATAGGCAAAGTTTTTGAACAAAGGGTCCGTAGGTGTGTACAAAAATTGCATACAAATATTTTTTCCCATTGTGGTATTGTGGGAGATTTTTTCATCATCTGCAATGGAGCCTGTTGGGGTATTGGGTCCAAGCCCAATACACCCAGTCCAAAGTATAAAATAAGCCCAACACAAGCAGGAAGCCCAATGCAATCGGAAAAGCACAAGACGTCCCGAACAGGGTATACCCGAACAGCATTCGGGTATATTTGTCCACTTGAAGCAATCAGACAGAGAACTGGCATATAAACACCCACGAAGGGAAAGCAGCATGTAATGCCGAAGTACGGCAGTAGCAAGTGGAGGCATGGGTGCAAGGCGGCACAGGTAGCAACCAACCAGGTCCAGCCACGTCATCATCCCACTTACCCCCTCTTAGTATAAATACCTGCATTGAATACATGGTAAAGGGTTAGCATTTTCATACTCAAAGCTTAGCAATAGAATTATATCTCTATTCTTGTATTCAAACTCATACCGACCTACCGTTCGGGCAGTTCTTTGTAATCACATAATTACGTAATACAAGTTAGCTTCTGAGTTACTTCCGAATTCACTGTTTTATATTTTATACATTTCCTTAAACCGAACCAAACGTCCTTAATATCCAAAGCGTGTGTTGGGCTTTCGGATCTACGGGATTAAACCTCATCAGAGCCAAAGATTCATTATTTTTGGCTTGAGAATATGATGGAATAAAGAAAAATGACATACATTCACTGTGCACTTAATTTTAATATTGCGTATGCTGTTTTAGGTTAATCTGGCTACTCAATTTGAGTTTGAAGTGGTGGACAAAATATGTAGAAGTTTTGTTGTAAATCTCAAAGACAAAGCATAGTCATGTTGTGAGTTACAACTTGAGCAGTCTATACGTTTTCATGGTGATGCACCGTGGATCAACATCGAGAATTGTCGTGTTATGATTACATCTAAAAGGTTTACTTCACAACATCGAGAATTGTCGTGGATCAATAAACTGTTTGCGCTTCTTTGTTATGAAGCAACAATCAATCCATGCAATTTTGGACACGATTTTCATTATGGGTCATCCGGAAACAATCTCTCAATGCTTTAGTACATGGGTAAGATTGCATACATCCGACCCCCTTACCCCACCGTAGGTGGGAGTCTTTGCGGCACTGGGGTAAATGAAAATGAAAATGATGGTATTGTTGGAGAGCCCATTAAAAATGATTATTAATATGTCACAATACTTCATATGATTGTATAAAGAGTCATATTGAGCCTCCTTGAAATTTTTGGACGAGTGAATGCACTTGTAATTACCTTTTTGGAAAATTCAACTAAAATCGTTTCATAGCAATTTTGATAAAGTTTGTGTAACTCTAAATTATTCTTATTTTATCAATTATTATCAACCACATATACGGGCTTTTCTTAATAACAGTGTCACCCCTTCCGTCCCAATATTAATGGGACGAAAGTAGTATTGTTTTTTGTCTGTTTATAGTGGATGTTTGGATATACTTCTAAAATTGCTCCTGCTCATTCAAGGAGCAAAAAAGGATGTTGGAGTATTTGAATGAAATTGCATAAGTATTGTTGGGTGCTTCAGAATGCACATAGAAGCGGTTTTTTAGAAACTGAGGGAAACCAACTTCTGAAAAATGATTCTGATTCTTCTTATGTTTTAAAAAAGAAGCGAGAGTATAATCAATTCCAAACACTCACGAATTCTTTTTTTATACTGTCTACGTAGTACGGAGTATACGGAGTATACTCTCCAAACATCCACGGATGCGTATATTGAGAGAGTGCTTCGATTATTAAAAGATGAAATTGTGGTCGACATTAAAGTGATAAATATAAATAAAATAAAGTGTACTCACTCCAGTAGTCCAGTGCCAATTTGGGCATGGAGATTTTCTTACTTTTCAAGGAGCACTAGCATATTGGGTGGGAATGGGTTGGGTGGGGTCGACTTCGGTGTGACACGTGTTTATTATGTGTAGTTCATGGAGGTTAAGTTTTTTTTGCTAAAAATGCTTTTAATATAAGGATTATAAGTATAGTTTTCAACTCAATAAAAAAAATTAAAAAATAAATTTTGTTTGTAATTAAAACTGAATCTTCTTTATAGTGTTTCAAATTTTAGATTAGAATTCTAATCACCTTTCATACTATAAACTATCTTTTTTCCAATCAAAAGTATATATATGTATTCTTAATTAACATTTTTTATGTTTAGATAAAAAACGTTAATGAACATGCATGTTTCATGAGGTGCCATTTACGGATTAATTAACATTTTGATGTTTATGCATGTATATCTAAACGTGCATTAACGTTTTGGTTTTTTAACATTTTGGTTTTTTTTTTTTCATTTTACAATTGTAAATTGCAAATACGAAGTTAGTGAAAAAGAATCAGAAAAGCCAGTTTACATAAAACATTTTTGCCATAATATGATTGTTGGTGTACATTTCTGTCATAAACGTGGCAAAATCGTATGCTTATGATTTTTTTAGTGACAAAATCGTATACAAAATCTTATGATAAAATCCAAAAATCCAGAAAATCAGATTTTTTTTCAAATACTAAGAAATAAGAAATTAGAAATATTGTCTTTACTGATTTTTGCGGGTTCGGGTGGTGCTTACGAGATGAAGAGGGCGGGTTCGTGGTCTGGGCTGCACTTCCATGGTTAGGAAGATTGTCACTGTTGGAAGCTGAATTAATGGGGATCAGAGAAGCTCGTAGTTGGCTGCAAAATTTGGAGTGGCCTAGTGTTGACGTTGAATCTGATGCATCTCGTGCTATCTCGGATATTATAAATGGCGCCAACTGCTCTTTTGTGGGCTTGATTGCTGAAGATATTAGAGATATTGTGGAGCACTTTTCTTGCATTTTGTTTTCTCATATTGGGCAAATTAACGAATAAGCTAGCTCATGCCATTGCTAAAGCTGCTTGTTCCTTATCTGATTTTCACTCTTGGTTTTATGTTCATCCATCTTTTATTCTCCCTGTATTTGACAATAATTTGATTAATGCTAGTTAAATTTTTTTCTTGCCAAAAAAGAAATTAGAAATACAAAATAGAAGTATGGAAATTGGCAAAATCCATGTTAAAATCCTGAAAAACATAAGAATAGAAATATGAAGAAGATGATGAAGGAGAAGGAGAAGGAGAAGAAGAACAGACAAAACCCAAAATCCAAAGGAAAATATAGTCAATGGTGGTGGATGGCGAAAGCGGCGAAGCGGAGGTGACGAAGGCAGCGACGGTGGAAGAACCATGCGGTGGAGTAGGCGATGCGACAAATCTAGAGGGAAAAGATGAGATGCCATTACTCTTTGCTTTAGGGTCTAGAGAAGGAATCCAATCATCCATCGATATATGAAGTGGGAAGAGGAGCGAGAATGGGTAAATGGGTTCAGGGGCAAAATTGGGATGCTAATTCTCATATGTTTAATAATAGGAGTGAGTTGATCCTATTAAGGGAAAAAACATATCAAGTCCTATTTTTGCATTTCACTATTGTTTTAGTCCTATATAGGGTAATTATTATTTTTTGTTTAACACCATTTTTACGCCAAACATTTAAATAAATTTCAGATTTTCAGATTGAGGATCAACCTTGACACAATCCATTATCATGATGTGTGATTCATCAACTACCCTTAAAAAATAGACTCGAGTTATGTTATCTGATCCGTTAGATGGTAAATTTCACGTGAATAGTATTTTTCAAGTTTGCAATAACTAGATAATAGAAAATCTTCTAGCCAATTTTAAACACCTAACCTTGGGAAGAAGAGAATTGAATTTAGAAAAAATGTAGTTGTAAGCGGAAGTGCCTAGCATCGGTCTAGGGTTAGATTGGGCAGTGGCGCTTTATTCCAGCGTCTGTCCGGATAGGGAGGGGTTTCCTTTGAGGTTTCTTTTCACGATCAGGACAGTGATCTAGTCTGTGTGTGACTGATGGGGAGAGGAGTGGCTACCAGGGACTCTGTGATCGATTGGCAAGCAATCACAGGGTTGTTGGTGAGACAACTTCGTAATCCGCAGGGAGTTTTCTCACGCAAGCTTCTTCACCTTTTCGTCCGCAGTATTTTCCGTTTCGCAGCAATTCACTTCACTCACAACGAAATTTTCTCGGCGAGATGGAATCCAACATAATTGATGCGAGGAAGCAATCAAGTAGGATGCTGATTCGACAACAACTCGTGGCAGGTTCCACGCATTATGCGATCTTGGATCTGCGTCGGCTAGGATGGTAAGACCGATTGTCTATGGCTGATGGTGACTGGGATGGGGGCTGTACCAATTGTGTTTGACCTAGGTGGAACGCTGTCGTTATGGGTCCTGATGAAAGGGGGAAATTGGGCTTCAATTGGCTGTTGGGGGATCAACATGGGGATGGCATGTGGATTAATCGCCCCCCTCCTGAACCGCCGCCATGGAGGAATTGCGCAATTAGGTTTTGGAAGAATGCTTTATTAGTTATTATTTGTTATTTTCAGTACAATTTGTTTTTTTTTTCATTCTTGTGTTTTGTTTTGTGGTCAGTTTCATACTTGATGTCGTTGTTGCTTGTTTAGTTAAGAGGACTGAGAGTTCAGCTAAGTATTAAGTTGTT